CTCTGGAACTCTCTCAAATAATTAAGTCTTAAAAAAAGAAGTGAAACACTTATATCCTAGAAACTTTTCAATTTTTAAACTCCTCTAAAAATAAGACCCTCTCCCTGAAAGAAATAAATCCATCATCCAATTCTGATACCCTCAACTTTCATGTAGATTTTCAGGAACCCATCTAAATAGTAGACAGGCTGCATAACATAGTAAGTCCTATAATCAAAGGATGAGTGCAATGCTTAGGGACTGCGATCATTAGAATGAATTATCCGTACACAGTTTACTATTATCTCTTTAGAGGACTTTAGCAATCTGCAACTTACCTTCATCAGGGCATTGAGTGCATACTTTTGATCCTCTCGCTTTGCTACAGCTTTTGCTTCCGCAGCTTCTTTTGCTCTCTCTTGTGCTTGCAAAATAGATTTTTCTCTTATTCTTTGCATCATCTCTTTGTCAACTAAAACGTAAGGAATATTGCTAAGTTAGGATTATGATATATTCATTTTGTGAGAAAATTATTTAACATACTGATCCAGGATGAGATTCTTTTACACTCAGTGTCACAAGGAGATGTGGAACTGTTTTTCAGTATTAACCTGACAAGAAGCTGACCCTAGAAGGTAAGCAATGATGAACTGCTACAGAATAAAGTGGGGTGGGGAGGAAGACCAAGAAATGGAGGACAAGACATGAGGCAGAGGGAATGAGAGCAGAAAAATGAATGAGAGTGAAAGGGGGTAGGAACAAGAACACATTTATCCTACCTCTGTTGAGAAACCATGGCTTATAAACCTGATTGCAATAACTAATCACCATGGGGGTCAATTAGAAAATGGGTTGAAATCAAGCGAAATGGGGGCTGGCGCTGCAGTGCAGCAGGGTAAAGCCCTGGCCTGCAGTGCCAGCATCTCATATGGATGCCAGTTCGAATCCCAGCTGCCCGCTGCCCCACTACTGATACATCTCCCTGTTAATGTGCCCAAAAAAGCAGCAGAGGATGGCCCAAGCAGTTGGGCCCCTGCACCTACGTGGGAGACCCGGAAGAAGTTCCTGGCTCCTAGCTTTGGATAGGTTTAACTCCAGCCATTGTGGCCATTTGGGGAATAAACCAGCAGATGGAAGACCTCTCTTCCTCTGTTTCTACCTCTCTCTGTGTAACTCTGACTTTCGAATAAATAAAATAAATCTTTAAAAAAAAATCACCTGAAATGTTCCACCTTCACAAACATTAAGTGGTCATTTATACACACAAGGAGTACAGGACCAGCAAAAATAACAAATTAACATGACATACCACACAAGGGTACTTCAAAAAGTTCATGGAAAATATAACCAAAAGATTAAGATCATGGTGGTACAAAAAATGTTGAAATCCAAGCATAAAGTTTTTTTTCATTAAAAATGTATTTATTTGACGGCCGGTGCCACGGCTCACTAGGCTAATCCTCCACATGCAGCGCCAGCACACCGGGTTCTAGTCCTGGTCAGGGCGCCGGAGTCTGTCCCGGTCGCTCCTCTTCCAGGCCAGCTCTCTGCTGTGGCCAGGGAGTGCAGTGGAGGATGGCCCAGGTGCTTGAGCCCTGCACCCGCATGGGAGACCAGGAGGAAGCACCTGGTTCCTGGCTTGGGATTAGCACAGTGCGCCGGCCACAGAGGCCATTGGGGGGCTGAACCAACGGAAAAAGGAGGAACTTTCTCTCTGTCTTTGTCACTCTCACTGTCCACTCTGCCTGTCAAAAAAAAATAAATAAATAAATAAAAATATTTATTTGGCCGGTGCCACGTCTCACTTGGCTAATCCACTGCTTGCAGCGCCAGCCCGCAGGTTCTAGACCCGGTTGGGGTGCCGGATTCTGTCCCGGTTGCTCCTTTTCCCGTCCAGCTCTCTGCTGTGGCCCAGGAAGGCAGTGGAGGATGGCCCAAGTGCTTGGGCCCTGCACCTGCATGGGAGACCAGGAGGAAGCACCTGGCTCCTGGCTTTGGATCGGCACAGTGCCGGCCATGGCAGCCATTTGAGGGGTGAACCAATGGAGGGAAGACCTTTCTCTATGTCTCTCTTTCTCACTGTGTAACTCTGCCTATCAAAAAAAAAAAAAGTATTTATTTAAGAATTAAGGTATATTTTTACAAGATTTATTTATTTACTTATTTATTAATTTATTTATTTGAAAGGCAACGAGAAAGAAGGGGTAGGGTGAGAGAGTGAGATCTTCCATCCACTGATTCACTCCCCAAATGGCCCCAACGGCTGCAGCAGGGCCAATCCGAAGCCAGAAGCCAGGAGCTTCTTCTGGGTCTTCCATGTGGGTTCAGGGGCCCAAGCGCTTGGGCATCCTCTACCTCTCTTCCAGGAACGTGAACATGGAGCTGAATTGGAAATAGAGCAGCCAGGACACGAACCAGCACCCATACAGGATGCTGGCACTACAGGCAGAAGCTTAACCTGCTTTGCCACAGCACCGGCCCCAGCATAGCTTTTCATAAAACATATTTTCCAAGATCTTTTTGAAGATCCCTCATATGCATGGATTTCAAACTTTTTACAACAAAATAAAGTTATCTTTTGATCTCATTCTTCCACAAACTCTTAACTTCATTTGAAGGGCAGAGAGACAGTAACAGACAGAAATATTTCACCTACTGCTTCATCTGACAAACGCCCACAACTACCTAGGCCATAGTTAGGAGCCTGGAATTCAATCCAGGCCCCCAGTGCGAGTGAAAGGGATCCAAGTACTTAAGCCATCCCCTGCTGCCTCCCAGGTTATGCAATAGAAAGCTGGGCTCAGAAGCAGAGCCACGACTCAACCCTAGGCACTCAAGTATGGTATGTGGGCACTGCACGTGGCATCTAACTGCTGCACTAAATGTCTACCCCTCCATGAACCTTCTGAAGTGCTGCATGTGAAAATCCCAACCCTGGGGCCGCTGCTGTGGCACAGTGAGTTAGCTGCCATCTGCAGTGCTGGCATCCCACGTGGGCACCGGTTCGAGTCCTGGCTGCGCCACTTCCAATTCAGCTCTCTGCTCATGCACCTGGGAAGTCCTTGGGCTCCTGAACCCATGAAGTAGACCCTGTTGAATCTCCTGGCTTCAGCCTGGCTCGGTCCTGGCCGATGCAGCCATTTAGGGAGTGAATCAGCCAACAGAAGATCTCTCTCTCTGCCTTCAAATTAATAAATAAATCTTTTAAAAAAAAAGAGAGACACACACACAAATAAAAGAAAATCCCAACGCAGCAATGTGATAATATCTGGAGGTGGGTCTTTTGGGAGGTAGTGTCTTTTTTTTTTTTTTTTTTTTTGACAGGCAGAGTTAGACAGTGAGAGAGAGATAGAGAGAGAGAGAGAAAGCTCTTCCCTCTGTTGGTTCACCCCCCAAACGGCTGCTACGGCCAGGCCAGCGCTGCACCGATCCGAAGCCAGGAGCCAGGTGCTTCCTCCTGGTCTCCCATGCCGGTGCAGGGCCCAAGCACTTGGGCCATCCTCCACTGCACTGCCGGGCCACAGCAGAGAGCTGGCCTGGAAGAGGAGCAACCGGGACAGAATCCAGCGCCCCGACTGGGACTAGAACCTGGGGTGCCAGTGCCACAAGCGGAGCATTAGCCTAATGAGCTGCGGCGCCAGCCGGTAGTGTCCTTCTAAGTAGGCCTCAGAGCGCCTCCCTGCCCCATTCACCAGTTAAGAACACACTGCAAAGGTGCCATCGAGGATTAAAAAAAAAAAAAAGACTGAGTCCTCACCAGACCCCAGACCTGCTGCTGATTCAATCCTGGATCTAGCAGGCTACCCAATTCTGAGATGTACATTTTTGTCATCTTCTCAGCTCCTTGGCGGCTCAAGTACTTCGGTCCCTGCCACTCACATTCAAAACTCAGATGGAGTTCTGGACTCCTAATTTTGGCTGGGCCCACAGCCCCAGTTGCTGCAGTCATTTAGGGAATTAACCAGCAGTAGAAGATCTCTCTGGGGCCTGTGCTGTGTCTTAGTGGATGAAGCCGCTGCCTGCAGTGCCGGCATCCCACATGGGCACCAGTTCAAGTTCCGGCTGCTCTAGTTCCAATCCAGCTCTCTGCTATGGCCTGGGAAAGCAGTAGAAGATGGCCCAAGCCCTTGGGCCCCTGTACCCATGTGGGAGATCTGGAAGAGGCTCCTGGCTTCGGATCAGCAGAGCTCCAGCCGTTGTAGCCATCTGGGGAGTGAACCAGTGGATGGAAGACTTCTCTCTCTCTCTCTCTCTCTCTGTCTCTCCTTCTCTGTGTAACTCTACCTTTCAAATAAAAAAATAAATCTTAAAAAAATACATATCTCTGACCTCTCTGACCCTCTGCCTTTCAAATAAATGAATGATCTTTTAAAAAAGTTATCAAAAATAAATTTTGAGAAAAAGTAGATAAATATATTTTTTAATAATGAAACAAACTTTAGATACCTTACGTGGAAAAGAGATAACAAATAATCTCTGAATTGCAAGTGAAACTGAGTTCGATTCTAAAGGAATTTCTGAAGCAGAATCAGTGCTAACTGTTGCGTGAGTTCATTTTCAGAGTGTTGAATTATGTGAATCAGGTGTTGCTGGCAAGCTGGGTCCACCAGCCAAACCCAGGCTGCTGCCTGTTTTATCACAGCCCATAAGTTTTTATATTTTAAGAGGTTTAAAAAATAAAAATACATATTGTGTGACAAACACAAATTAGGTACAATTCACATTTCAGTGTCTGTAAGTAAGCCTCATCTACAGCTGCTGTTGTGCCCCAATGGCAGAGCTGAGTTCACGTGACCGAGACTTCGGGGCCTGCAAAGTCGAAAACAGCCTTATTCTTTCTACAGAAAAAGTTTGCCAATCCTGAATAAAATAACCAAAGCTTGAAATGACGAACATGTAACCATGAGCACTTTCCGGTGAGAGAAGATTATAAAACAGGAAAATCATGATTCAAGAAGGGAAATTCCCATTCCCACTCCTGGAGAAGGGAGGCATCAGGGTAAGACACTTTGACACAAAAGCAAGTGTTTCATGTCAGGAAATATGTTATGAGGAAAGTAACAGGTACTAGTCTAGTAGACTAGTCTGATGCTAGTCTTCTTTATATCAAAAAGATGATGGCCAAATCATTTCCTGGAGAAATGTGCTGGCCCCCAGGGGGAATAGAGACACAAACCAGCAAACATCTAAGTCAGTGGTTCTCAAACCTAACTAGTATCAGAACCGCCTGGGGAGCGCTCCCGTGGATCTCGTTCTTCCCCCCAGCCCCTGCTCCCACCCGTCTATTTTTAAATAAACAACTACATTAGATGGTCATTTTGGTCATATACAACTTCAAAATTAAGATTATCAGCAAGAGTCAAAATACATGAGAATGTTTGTATTTAATCTTAGGTAAGAAGTCAAAACATCCTGAGTGGGCGAGTTTCAGGACATTTCAGGCACCATTATAGATTTACTGAGCCAGAAAGTAAGGAAGAGGTCAAAGAACAGGAAACTGATTTTTTTTTTACTTTTATTTAATGAATATAAATTTCCAAAGTACAGCTTATGGATTACAATGGCTTCCCTCCCATAACGTCCCTCCCACCCGCAACCCTCCCCTTTCCCACTCCCTCTCCCCTTCCATTCACATCAAGAAGGAAACTGGTTTTTGAAAACTCCTTAAGTAGACCCAGACTCACTAAAGAAACAGAGTAACCTTGATATGGTAACCTACCTTAACTAGTGTTCTCTGAGCTGAACACCAGACCTTAGAGGGAAAAACTCTACCCCAGTCCTGGCCCAGGGGAATAAAAATTAAATTCCACTGCAAAATACCAGGAAAGCTTTAACATAACATAAAGTTATAAAACCCTTCCATTCTCAACTGTTCACACTCACGGTTTAATGCCAGAGGCACGAGGGAAATTCTAGGCAGTTGATACAAAATATGAGAAAATATGACAACTAAAAGACTGAAGAGGGACAAAAAAGCAGAAGCTGTGTAGGACAATTAACGACCCACAAAGCTGCTACGGACGGCAGAACAGAGAACCACCTACGAACGAAGAGAACTACCTTTAGAACAAGGGATCGCAACTTTGGCTGCACATTATAAGCTTTTCAAAAGTCTCTGCACCTGGGTTCCAATCCCAGAAAGAGATCTGATTGCTCTAAGATGAGTTTTGGGCATTCCTGCTATTTTAAAATTCCACAGGTGGTTTAAGTAAGTAGCCAGGATTGAGAACCATTTCTTCAGAGTGAAGCTGCCCAGGCAGGCTCCAGTTCCAGCCTGCAGTCAGCAGCTGTGTGAGCTCTGCCAATTACTACACAGGTCTGTGTGTCAGGAGTAGCCTCACCTGTGAAAAGGGATAACAATGCCTAAGGCACTGGTTGTCCTGAAGATGAACAGATATGGTAATACATAACACAAAGTAGGTTCTCAATAAAGGTCCTTTCAGGACTTACCCCTAAGATAGGAGCCCACAGCTTCTGCTTAATGTGCTCTAACTCTGAAAGATTTACTCTTGGCCGACGCCGCGGCTCACTAGGCTACTCTTCCTCCTGCAGCGCTGGCACCCCGGGTTCTAGTCCCAGTCAGGGGTTCCGGTTCTGTCCCGGTTGCTCCTCTTCCCAGTCCAGCTCTCTGCTATGGCCCGGGAAGGCAGTGGAAGATGGCCCAGGTCCTTGGGCCCTGCACCCACATGGGAGACCAGGAGGAAGCACCTGGCTCCTGGCTTCGGATCAGCGCAGTGCGCCGGCATTTGGGGGTGAACCAACAGAAGCAAGACCTTTCTCTCTAACTCTGCCTGTCAAAAAAAAAAAAAAAAAAAAAAAAAAAAGATTCGCTCTTTATTCAGGCTCATTCATTTTAAGTGTTGGCTGAAGCACTACTTCATTTAGGTCAGGCTCATAAAAGCCTATTTTTTTTTTTTCCTATATGAGTGCCTGAAGGAGTTAAAAGAAATACCAGTTCAGAACATGCTCTTTTGATAGATGGGTTATTTTGAGTTAAAGGCACTTAATAAACAACAAATGCAGGACTAGCTTTCTTTGAATGCTTCTTGTCTGCCAAAGAGACTTTTTTCGAAATTAACTCAACTGTCACAAAAACCTTCCTGTGGAGTTGCCTCAACCTGGGAATACTGACACTAACCGGAGAGGAGAGGAGAGGAGAGGAGGGGCCCACAGCACACTGCAGCGAACCTTGTCACGCCTCCCGACTATTCTTCCACAGAGTGGTTCCACCTTTTCTAAAAATCATTTCCCATCCTAAGCCATTGGCCTCTCCCCTCCCCTTTCCCTATTAAGAGGGTCCTATAGCCTTTCTGGGGTATTCACCCTTATTTTTTTTCCTGTGAAGTCCCCCCAGGCACATAATATTAAAAATTAATAAATATGCATACCTTTTCACCTGTGACTCCACCTCTTACTCGTTTATTTCACGGACTCAGCTATGGAACCTAGGAGTAAAGTTTTTCTGTACCCCACACAATGTACCGATTTCCAAAGAGAATTTTTTTTTTTGACAGGCAGAGTGAACAGTGAGAGAGAGAGACAGAGAGGAAAGTCTTCCTTTGCCAAAGAGAATTTTTAAAAAGGCCTAACACAGGAAAGCCACAAGCACGCGAGCATTTTCAGGGAAGAACTCACCACCCGGCACACAGAGAGTCTCCCACATGCCTGCTTCTTTTTTATACAAGGTAAAGACAACAGCGTCATTTCCAATCTTTGCTTTGCTGCTGGCATCGTCTATGGGAGCGTAGAGAAATGCCTCAAATAAAAACGGAGGAAAGTTGACCTATTCAGAAGGGAGAATGCAGAAATTAAGTTATCCACTAGTTAAGGACAGCTGCCATTAAGAAATACGTGATAAAGACAAAATTAACTTTGTTGTCTACTAAATGCATTCCAGGTGAAGAGTAGCATGGTATAAGACGAAGCTCTGGTATAACCAATGTCTGACTTGACCACATCCGTCTACACCTGAGCCGGCACCTGCGTGAGACTCGTTTTCTAAAAACGGGATTAAAAATGCACGCCGCCCATCCCCAGGCGCGTGCCCAGCTGCGCTCCCCCATAAGCTTGGCACCAGCCCGCCGAGGACCCGGCGGGCACGATTCGCGCTCCTACCTTCAGATAGTTTTCCGTGCAGAACACGTCCGCATCTCTCACGCAGACGCCTCGCAGGGGCAGAGAGAGGAAGACCGCAGTCTTCGTCTGCTGCCAGCTGTAATCGCTAACCTGCACGGGCATCGCCGGAGTGGCCCGAGCGCACTCGCTGCTCGCGCCCTCTCGGTTGCTAGGGAAGCTGGGGTTACCAGGCGCCAGCTCTTCCGGGTCGCGCCCAGTCGCAGCGCCCCGCCTTCCCAGCATGCTCCCCGCGCGAGCCGGGCGACGTCCCGCGAGCCCCTTGTGCTGTTTGGGCGGCGGGGTACAGGGATTAAGCGATTAAGGAGGCGTGGGGGAGAGGCACCTTCTTTTTCAGTGGACGACTGTCCGAGGAAGGAGGACCATTCCTGCTTAAGAAGGAAAAAGAGCTTGAGGTGTGAGAGCGGAAAGAGACGTGTAGGGAAGGCTAACTTGAGAGGGGCCAGGCGCCCTTGGAGTCCAGGCCTTTATTCTGACCCCGGTTATTTCGCACTAGCTCTGTTTTCTTGTTTAGGAAATGACTGTGTCGACCGACTTATCGAGAGCTTGTCTTGGCTATTGTCGTTCTCCAAATCCTGTCCACTGTTAGGCCACCAAAAGCACCCAGGCAGAGTTCGCTCAGAACTGGTGAGAAAGGACTTTAGGGCTCCCCTTACCAATGCTTGGCCACAACTCAGAAGGCTAAGTTGGATTTACACTGAAAATTTTACAGTTGCTTACTTAGCTTGAATTTAAGCGCTGCCGAGAAACTTGAAGATCATTACTTTCGCCCTATAGATTATAGGAATCTGCACTTTTTTTTTTTTTTTTTTAAGATTTATTTGAAAGGCGGAGTTACAGAAAGAGACAGATCTTCCATCCATTGGTGCACTCCCCAGATGGCCGCAATGACTGGAGCTGGGCCAGGCCAAAGCTGGGAGCCTGGAATTCCATTCTGATCTCCCACATGGGTGGCAGGGGCCCAAGCCCTTGGGCCGCTTTCTGCTGCTTTTCCCAAGCCATTCACAGGGAGCTGGATCAGAAGTGCAGCAGCCAGGAAAGGAACCTGGGCCCATACGGGATGCTGGCTTTGCAGGTAGTGACTACTCCTTATGCCACAACACTGCCCCCAATACTTTTTTTTTTTTTTAAAGATTTATTTATTTGAAAGAGTTACACAGAGAGAGAAGGAGAGGCAGAGAGAGAGAGGTCTTCTATCTGCTGGTTCACTCTCCAGTTGGCTGCAATGGCTGGAGCTGAGCTGATCCAAAGCCAGGAGACAGGAGCTTCCTCAGGGTCTCCCATATGAGAGGGACCCAAGGACTTGGGCCATCTTCCATTGCTTTCCCAGGCCATAGCAGAGAGCTGGATTGGAAGTGGAGTAGCTGGGACTCGCACGGGCGCCCATATGGGATGCCGGCACTGCAGGTGGCGGCCCCACCACCCATACTCTTAAACCCACACTTACGTTAGTGACTTAGCCATGACAAAAAAAATCCTTGTTTCTTAACTGCTATTCCAATGTTCTTTCACTAAGGCTGTTTTCTGTAGACCCAGATTATAAATTACTGGAATATGATGCTAACATAGTGAAGTCGTATGATAATTTAGCATCTACAAGTTACTTGTTGTCGCTCCCCCTCTTCGTGGAGGAACGACACTAAACCCTGCCTAGGCTTCATATCCGAGTCACGGCACCATTATGTCACTCCCCCTCTTCGTGGAGGAACGACACAGGACCCTGCGGTTGTTCTTTTGTCTGCTCGGCCCTCCCCGGGTTTGCTGCTGGTTCTTCCCGGGTTGGCTACCGTCCCTTCCACCTCCGTGGAAGGGCGGTTCCCCCTGCCACTTTCCCCACTTCCGCGGGGGAGCGGCACACCGCCGGCCGGCTCTCTCAGGGGCTGCACAGGTGTTCCTTCAGATAGATGTTCCTCTTAGATGTTCCTGGTGCATGTTGTCTCTCTCCTCCTTTATAGTCCTCTTCCACCAATCCCAACACTGCTACCCACACGCCGAGTACGCTGCTCTCCTCCAATCAGGAGTAAGTCCTACAGTTTATTGGTTGAACTGGAGGCAGCTGTGTAGAAGCTGTTTCTCCCTTCTCAGCGCCATATTGTGGGAGAGCAGATGCATAGAATAAGTCTTAATTCCAGTAACTTAGTCTAGTCCAAGTTGCTCCCCACACTTGTAACCAAGGGTTTTGGATTCTAAACTTTCTTTTGGAGACTTTCACACAGATTCCAAAGCTCACAAGCAATTTCTTGAGGAACATTTAGAAGACTGGGGGAAGTGGGTAGGAATAACTTTTTTTCCCCAAAATATTGTCAGCAGCTCATTATCCAAGGTTCTGGTAATTTGGAATACTGGAGTCATTTTAAGACTCCTTTTGCTCCTTTTCCCTCTTTCCTAAGCCAAGAAACCTTTGAGTCTGGTGGATTCTTTTTCTTGTTGCTTTTGGAATTCCCTCCCCTAACTCCCCCCTTTTATTCTATTGGTACTTTTACTATATTGTTTGAGTCTTATAAAGTTGCAAAACACGATGTATACAATCCTTTCATATAACATTTTAAAATCTGTTCTCCCAGTATACAAAAATACAAGTGAGATGATGTATGTACAAAAGACAATAATAAAAAGGATACTTTGTGCTATGTAGGACTTTCAAGAAATCTGTTAGCAATCACTTAGCTAACAGGTCTGCAGTGAAATTGTTCTGACAACCATAATCTTACTAAACTTTCATACCCTCTACCATAACAAAAACTTTGCAGATTTTTTTTTACTGAATTGTTACATCAACTGATAATAATTTTAAAACATCATTAATCTTTATGCATTGTTTCTTAACTTAGGTACTTATCTAAGCAGTGTTTCACAAGTTTTGAAAACAAATCAAAAAGGTCTTAAATATACTCATTAGATTTTAAAAAATAAAAGTTCTATTCTAACTCACGGATAGACAGAAATTCGATATTTGGCAAAGAGGGCTCTGCATCTAAGTGGGAAAATGCAAAGAAAGGAATGACTTACATACGTGATGTGGGAGAAATGGTTACCATATGGGAAAAAATGAGATTGGATCTATGTACACATATGGTATCACACACAAAAATGAATTTCAGATGAACCAAAGATATAAAAGCTTGAAATTTAAAAAATGATAATATATATGATTTTGGAATAAGAAAGGAATATGACATAAACAGTGCTAACCATGAAGAAAAAAAATGAAAAACTGAAACAAAATTAAGAACTGTTGTGCACCAAAGCATAGTCATGAATGTGAAGATAAATGAAACATGCATACATAAACTATCAGTGCCCTTCAGCCGCAGACAACAGAGACACCTGTGGTCGAACAAGTTCATCCCTCAATGAGTAAGGAAGAATACAGACCACAGGTGTCCCAATAAGTGGGGATTAGAACTTGGTAGATAGGCTAAGGGAAGTTTCCCACGAGATTAGGTGCTTTTAAAAAGCTAGGGTAGGGGCAGGTTTTTTTTTGACAAAGCTGTTGTTACCACTTAGGATGCTCTCATCTCAGCGTGCCTGGTTTGAGTCCTGGCTACTCTGCTTCCAATTCACCTGCCACCTAATGCACATTCTGGGTAGGCAGCAGATAATGGCTCAAGTAGTTGGGTCGCTGCCACCCATGTGGGAGACCTGGGTGGAATTTCAAGCTCCTGGCTTCAGTTTGGTCCAGCCCTAGCTGTTGTGAGCATTGTGTGTGTGTGTGTGTGTGTGTGTGTGTGTAGCAAGGGGGTGGGGTGAGGGGGTATTGATCCACGAAATGGGAGAACTCTCTCTCTGCCTTTCAAATAAAATAATAATAAACCAGATTAATTCTATTGAGGGGGCTCAAGGCTATGCCAAAACTTGACACCTTGGTATATTGAATATTTTAACCTGAAGCAATTTGAAAAGGGCTCTCTGACCTCTCTGGAACCCTTCTTCCCTGAAGACTCATCAGGCCATGAAAAACGCTCCCCAGTTTACTACACTTAGCTCATCCTCTTTGTGCTATCACATTTTCCTGTGACTTTTTTTTTTTTTTTTTTTTTTTTTTGACAGGCAGAGTGGACAGTGAGAGAGAGAGACTGAGAGAAAGGTCTTCCTTTGCAGTTGGTTCACCCTCCAATGGCCGCCGCCGCTGGCACACCGCGCTGATCCGATGGCAGGAGCCAGGTGCTTATCCTGGTCTCCCATGGGGTTGCAGGGCCCAAGTACTTTGGCTATCCTCCACTACACTCCCTGGCCACAGCAGAGAGCTGGCCTGGAAGAGGGGCAACCGGGACAGAATCCGGCACCCCAACCGGGACTAGAACCCGGTGTGCCGGCGCCGCAAGGTGGAGGATTAGCCTAGTGAGCTGCGGCACCGGCCCTGTGACTTTCCACTCTATCAAACCCAGCTCAAAAATGCTTGGGTTTAACCATTTCTTTCGTTTATCACTTCTTTATGCATACTCTCATCCCATATAAACTTATATTAAATAAATGTGCATGGTTTTCTCTTGTAGTCTGTCTCAATCTGTCTCAGGGTTCTCTAAGAAAGAATTTAGGGGGCAGGCGCTGTGGTGTAGTGGATTACGTCTCTGCCTGTGGTGCCAGCACCAGCATCCCGTATGGGTGCTGGGTTGAGTCCTGGCTACTCCTCTTCCAATCCAGGAGGTTTTTCCATTCACTGGTCCACTCCCCAAATGGCTGCAACAACCAGAGCTGGACTGAACTGAAGCCAGGAGCTTCTTCCAGGTCTCCCACATGGGTACAGGGGCCCAAGCACTTGGGCCATCCTCCACTGCCTTCCCAGGCAATTAGCAGATAGCTGGATCAGAAGAGGAGCAGCAGGGACATGAACCAGCCCCCACATGAGATGCCTGCACAGTACGTGGAGGCTGAACCTACTGCAAAGCGCCAGCCCTATAAAATGTGACTTTTAAAATACATAACTCACTAAATTTTTTTCTAAAAAATATAAAAATGTTCAGTATCTCCATATACTTCTTCAATGAGACAAGGAAAGGTCATGTTTTAACTACCAATTGAAAAATCCTGCATGTGATCATTGAAAAGTACAGTTTAAATCTTATATATCCTTACTGATTTTTTGTGGGTTTTGTTTGTTTTGTTTTGTTGGTCCTTGGTGCTTTTTTCCCCAGAATATTTTCAAGCAAGTTATAGAATTATTAAGTATTTCAGTGTGCTTCATTTTAAAAATGAGCATTTTCTACATGAAGA